GTAGTAGTAGTAGCAGCAGCAGCAGCAGCCACAGCAGGAGGAGGAGTATGGAGGAGTAGTAGTAGCAGTAGTATATTAGTAGTACTAGTACTAGTACTAGTACTAGTACTAGTACTAGTAGTAGTAGTAGTAGAAGAAGTAGTAGTAGTAGTAGCAGTAGTAGTAGTTGTATTAGTAGTAGTAGAAGTAGTAGTAGAAGAAGTAGTAGTAGTAGTAGCAGTAGTAGTAGTAGTAGTAGTAGTAGCAGTAGTAGTAGTAGTAGTAGTAGTAGTAGCAGTAGTAGAGTAATCTAGTCCAGTCTAGTATTGGTATAGTATTCATGATACTCGAACAGTACTAACAGCAGCAGCAGCAGCAGCAGCAGCAGCTGCAGCAGCAGCAGCACTACAACTGCTGGTACGAACATCCACTACTGCGCCGCGCCTTAACGACTACTATAGTTTGGTACCTTGCAAAGTGTCGCTCGCACGACCCTCGGAGGCACTCCTAATAATGCACGATCATACCACATGCCAACAATATACTATAGGGGAGGTTTGAAGGCGCAGCTCTTGATGAAAGTAGCTGTTAAATAGCTGATCTGGCTGCATACGGCCCAGCGATTATCCGAAGAAAAGAGACTAACATAGACGGTCAACGATTTCCTGAATTACTGCTAGCTGCTAGATGGCAGCAAGTGGGCCAATCCTTCGTGACCCAACATCAATCCTACCCTACCCGGTTAGATAATGAAGCCGTGCATCCTTCTTCAGGGTCTCGAAGGTGTCAGGCGTCGCATTTGACAGCCTCGAAAAGACATCAAGCGCGATGGCTTTCTACAGCCAATACAAAGTTAATCTCGACGTTGCGACCATGAACGCATCCTGAGTCAAATCCAAGAATGCCGTCTGGGCAACTTCTGCAGCACCCTCAAGACGTTGAGCATGGCCTTCCAGGGCTTGGACTGGTGTCAATGCATCACTGTACACCCGAGCTGTCCACTCATGTTCTGACATTTTCTGACGCCTGCTGTTCGCGGAGAACTTTGGCTTCTTGCTCCAGCCGCTTTTTGGTGTCTTCTTCCTTCTGCCTGCGCTTCCGGCTTGCGGCTTGGGGCTGTTGCAATGCAACGGGAACATTTCCACAGGTTCACACATGTTGCTACAGACTTAGTACATGGGCCGCAACAGACTTCCACAGAGATGACAACACCTGGCCTGAACTGACACCTATGATACTTATGTTCGGCACAATTATTGAAATGTCCCTTTGCGTCCCAGGAGCTTGGCGTCCTCCTTGTCGTCCTGCCGCACGGCGAGTTGGTACCGACTCAGAGCTGTAAGAGTTTATAAAAACCTTATCAAAACAACGGCCACAGTAGCACTGGCCCCGGTGGCCGCAGTAATCAGCTGCGGCTTCCGCTGCTCTTGTCATTGCTGCTTGTGCTGCTTCTGCCGCTTAGGTTGCCGCCGCTCCTCCTGCCTCTAGGTCTACATCTGGCACTACGACGGTAAAGACAAGAACGGCGACGAGGGGTCGTCATCCTGTCGCTGTGGCCCCATTATTCCAAGTCACAGCTACTCGCGATTGACATCGAAGTTGCATTGCCGCCAAATATCGAAGCAGCAACGCTAGCAACACTACCAAAGCACGACACATTGAAATCCCAGCTTGCGCCATCTTGAAGCACAGTGCTCCGTTGCTTGCTGTACTGTAGCAGGCCCGGAATGCAAAACTTCCCCAACACCTAGCAGTGCAACAGCCTTCTCCGGAAACCCAAAGCCCTCACGCCGTCTTCCAAAAAACCCCAAACCCTAAACCCACAGCATTCTCTCAACCGTTCCCTAAAATGCAACAGCATTCTTTCAACCGTTCCCCGAGGCTCCTTGTCGTCGTCGATTCGTCGGTCTTTGTGCCGATCTTTCCTTTATGCTGCTTTCAAGAACTATATATAACATATTATAACTGGATAGATACCATACCACCTTGTAGAACACAACATATGATACAACAGAACGGAATTTCCAACCTGCCATGCATGATATACACTATGCATATTTGGGGCTTCTTGCTCTAGGCCTTCGAGGAGTTTAAAGATGAAGGGAGGCGAAGCCGTGATACGAGGGCCCCGGATCAGAACCCTCCAGCTGGGCCTGTCTGCATCATACTTGCTCTTCTCCTGGCTGATTTTCATAGAGTTCGGGATCAGGGGGAAGTGCGCCAACTAAGTGTCAAAACTTACCCACTTGCCCCCTTAGAAGTATGGAACTTATGTAAACTCATTGGCAGCCACCTATGCTCAACCCTGCCTGTGTCGATGGCGACTGCTATGTTGGACCGTGTACAAGGCTGGTGAGCTTGCGAATTCTCCACATGAGCCGCACACATGCTTTCAGAAGTGAAGCATGAGGAATGCTTCCAGCATGATCCAGCAGACAAGCCTAGAAAGGCGCTAGCCACTGGTTGTGTGTCGCAGGTCCTGTGCTGGCAGATACAGCCATCGAGAAGGTTGTCCAACAACCATGTTTGGCATTCCAAGCCCGTCGAACAACAGCCCGGGTTGTCAACCCTTCCTGATATCCATTGTGTGCCCTCAACAGGCACGAGCTTGACAAGCCAGGCCCGAAACACCGGGCTGGTTTTGGCATGTGCAAGGGATATCTCTCTGAAGTTAAACAGTGAAGCGCATCACTTCTCGAGCAATCTCTAACCGTTCCAGAAGCATGGAGCAGCATTGCTGCCTTCTGAGGTGTTGAACTGACGCGCATTACATCATTTGGTACAGACGATAACGGAGCTGGCACGGATGCGACTGTTGTGGAAATTTGGAGGCTTGAGAGTATACCAAGTTGCGAGCTAGAACGCTCTAAAATCTTTCTTCGCAAGATCCAACAAACTCAGGCCTCCTGCTCCAGCGCTCGCTTCTTCTCGCGCCGTTTTTGGAGCTCCTCCTCCCGAAGCCTTGCGCGGGTCAGACGTGACAAGTCGGCCTTGGATCCCTCAGCCCAGAACCAGACAGACTTATATCGTTCTTTGGCATGCAAAGACCCTTTTTGCAGCAGGCTTCTGTCGCGCGGAACTGCGAGACCCTAAAACGAGAGATGAGCAAACGATGACCGGTTCGTCGTTTGCGCTTCATGTCGGTACTCTTCACGCTTTCAGCCTGATGCAGCCTTCATGCGACTGTAGAATTATGGAGAAGTATGGCACAATGCTAAGAAACAACAAGCCAAAGGCTAGATATCAATAATGAGGATTGAGATGGGGATTTCCTGAAGCTCTCTGCCCGCTTCGGAAAACAACGGATGAGGAGCACCCCAGGTTATAACCAGATGGTAGAATCTGGTAGAAGCAACGAAAAATCAAGATAACACAACAATAAAGCAAAGGAATAGCAAACGTGCAAGATTAAACGCTCCATATGTGTAAACCTCGATGACGGAATGATCTTTTAACGTGACCACAATCTCTTCAACCCGAAATAAGCCTCTAAACAAGCCTAAGACCCTATAACCCTAAGTCCAAAATTCCAAAAACCTGGCGAAAATCCACGACCCCTAAACCCTAAACCCTTAATCCCTAAACCCCCTCATGGGGCAGCAGCCTCATCTCTTCCTCCTTCTTCCTCTTCTCCTGGCGGGGTCCAAAGTTATGGAGACTTTGGCTCCCGTGGTCCTGCTATGCTTTTAGGGTTTAGGGTTTAGGGTGTTTTTCCCACCAGGGTTTTTTGCCTCCTACTTAGCAAGGACGAGCCCGCATTGCAGGGTACATTGACGTCTCAGAGGTTGCATATCAAGCCAATTTTCAGCCCGATAAATTAGGCAGAAGGGCTTTATAGGCCTTCTACTGCAGTACCAATCAGACCATATTGGCCAGATCGCACAGTGTGTTCATCATCACTGAAAGTCAGTACTGAGAAGTCTGTTATCAGGAGTCTACATACACCCGCATCGCTCAGAAGCCAAGCCAGAGCTCATAGCTACAGCAGAGGTTCCCAACGTAGTGCGTTCGGGCAGGGCATGCTGCAGTGATAGCAAAGGAGTGACGTTATCACAGCAGTTACGTCCCAACATAGCCGCACGTTATCACAGCAGTTACGTCCCAACATAGCCGCAGTCAGGGTATTCCGAGAACCAAGAAGAAAGGCTTCTCCCAGACCAAAGCTTCCAGAACCAGGCTCGTAGGTGAGCGTGTTGGCCCAGATCAGTCTTCGCAAAGCCAATCGTTCCAGCTTGTTTTACCATAAAAACGTCCAAACCAGGTTCAAGCACTACGCGCTCCCAGCTTTCACGAAAGTCCGTTGGACTATGCAGTAAAACCAGCCAGATCCGAAGTCAACAGTACTCCACCACTGCGCTATCAGATTGCCTGCACGACACTGGTCTCCTTGTCGAATTCCAAATTCCAAATTATGAATTGGCACTTGCAGGCCCACAGGCAAATTCTGAATCGTGATTCGAGGCATCTCATCTCAAGATTCCAGCAGTTGGTATTTGTAGCCAAGTGGTGCGGCGTGCCCAATACTCGACTGATATCCAGGCCATATGACAAAGCGTGCAGAATATGCTGAGAGGTCCAGCACATGGTCAAGTAGCAGAGTCCAGCCCGTATACCAGTAGGGTGTGAGCTCTTTTTGCCAAGCAGCAGACTCCAGGCCACAAACAATAAGGCGGGCTCCAAGAGTGTGTCGCTTCGAGGTTGGGTCAGAGCGCACCGAGCCATGGCGTTTTTTTCTCCGAAAGAAAACCCCTGCAACGCTGCTGAAGAGAGACCAACAAAGAAACCATGGTTTATGGACACGCTGGTTCATAGGGCCCTGAAGACTTAGGCAGCAGCAGCGGGCAGTTGAAGTGTCGGTGACGACGAGTGGAGTGTGGAAGGCATGTGTCCCGGGGCGTTGGTCGTGAGCGGCCGGCATTTTTCTTTGTTTTTGTGGGTTTTTTGGGCACGAAGGTGAAACGACCACGCTTTGGGATAGGGCGGCTTTGTTCGCGTTTTGTGTTCATTCTCTCAAACACTCATATGTAGAGTATTGGGTTAGAGAGTCCCTGAGGGTTTAGGGTTTAGGGTTTAGGGTTTATGAAAGCCGTACTATGCTTTTCAGCACTCAACTGGGACAATCCTGGCGAGGTTTCAAGCACAACGACAGCACTTTGGCCAGGGCAGGTAGATTCACCGACCCAAGACTTCCTGCTATGCTTTTGGGGTTTAGGGTTTTTTTAACACTCACACTCGGACAAGCCTGGCAAGGTCCACCACGATACTGTCTTCAAGGTCAGTAACTACACATCAAAGTAGGTGTTTAGGGTTTAGGGTTTATGAAAGCCGTTGATGGTGGTTTTGACTCATGCTTTGAAGGTGGTGCCTTGCAAAAGCTGCGTGGTACATTCTGTCCTCCACCGTGGCTCCTCGGAATAGAAAGGCTCTTTACTAAGAGGGGGGGGCGTTTGAAATTCCATGTCTGAGTCTAAGGCCATTCCCCCGTCCCCCAAAAAAAGCCCAAACGATAAAGCCATTCTGCTTCCAGGCCTGAAAAAGTCTCGTAGCAAAAGCCAAACTCGAACTGCAGTGAAATCACCACGCCCTCAACCATCCCCAACCACCACACACCCAAACCCCTACCAGGTTGATGCACCTCGGAGAGTGAGCGCTTCGGCTCATCGGAACGGTCTGCCGTCCGACGCCTCAGAGGCTCTAACATAGGGGGCTTAATATTTAGAATAGGGTTTGGGTGCGCTATAGAATAGTTTGCAGACATAGGTAGGGTCTTGCAGGGAATCCAGCACTTGTTATATTATTCTGCCTATTCTTGCAGCAGGCTTGCGTAGCCTCGCCTGGACACATTGACTTGTGCTCACTCTTCACGCACGAATAAGCTCAGTGGAAATCACAAACGACAAAAGCTTGCACACAACACTTGAGTCGCAATCGCAAGACCAACCCCAAAACCATCAGCTGCTCTTGTGGTTACAGCTTCCAGCAGGGGCTGAGGGGAAAAGAAGTTAATTGGGGCAGTAGGGATTCAGGCATTGTGTACTTGAAGAGCAAAACGAACCCTGCACTGTCGACACCCTCAGGCTCAACAGTTCCAGCTGGACCGTGGTAAAGTAGATCCTGAAGGATAGGCTCAAGTCTGAAGTTTCGACATGCAGTGACACTGTGGTGCTTGGAAAGTACGCTTGATGTTAACTGGGCCCATAACCAAGGAATGGGGTTCTCTGTTGGTCTGTGGTTTATTGGTGTCCGGATTTAGACGACAACGCCTGAAGCTTGAAGTGAAGAACGTGGCCTTTCCTTCGAAGCCACGCTTTGTGTCCAACTTTTGCATGTGCAATGCTAAAGGTGTGAACCAGGGGTATCGAATCCCTGGCCTCCTTTGCTCCCACTGCTTTCCTCGTTTTGTTTCAACCCTCGCATACCCCTCGCAACATAGAGCCAAGAGGGAGCCTGAAAACCATCAAAAGCTTCTTGAAAAAACTCGCAGCTCCCAAGCAGAGCACAGATCCAATAAGAGCAACGATCCGAAAACACAACTGCTCAAGAAAGCTTGCGCGGGGTGCCAATCGTTGCGGCCAGGATGCCTGGCGTCATCTCTCTTCTGATCCTGGCAGAATCTGAATGTTCTGCATGGAATATGAACGTAACCACAACCTGCTGGACACACCAGCAGGGTTTGGGAATCTTGCGTGGTTGGTTGTCACAAATACAATGCTCAAACCCACCGCATCTGTAGTTTTCGCTTCCTTCTGTCGCACGCAAGGCCTCACTCCGTATGTAGGCACTGAAGGCTTTCTCGGCAACCAGGAGACATTTAGCGAGGGTTATCACGTGGACACGGAACTTGCTGTCCTCCTCCATCTTGCGCTTTTCCTCGGCGGCTTCAGCCTCTTTTGCCTCCTTTTCTCTCTCAGCGGCTTTCCTGCTTCAGGGGCTTAGGGCTTCGGTTTAGGGTGTAGCGATCAGAAACCTAAACCCAAAGCCTTACTCCCAGGAGACATGACAAAACTCACAGCCGTTAGCCCTGACAGATACGGCTGCGTCCTGTCGGCTTCCGCCTTGCTCTTCTCCTGAAGAACGGCAGCAGCCGACCCCAAGGTTCAAGGCTGTCGACAAGCAGTGTAGAAAGATCCAGAATCCGAAAGCATCGTCACAATCATGATTAACCAAACCTTGCGGATGATACCAATCATACGACTAAACATCATGATGCCAAAACGACGACGGCGACAACCACAACAACCACAACCGACGCCCACAACCACGATAACCACAACGACAAACACCACGACGACGACAACAACAACAAAAACAACGACAACGACAACCACCACGACGACGACAACAGTAGCAACATCAACAACATCAACATCAACAACAAAAAACAACAGCAGCCACAACCCCGA